CTGTGTATGATGACGGGCACTTTTCCCTTCAGTCTTAAAAATAGATCACAGAATCTGCACACAGCAATGTATTCTCATATTCATATATATGTGGAGAGAGAGTGAGTAACAGATCAATTTGAAATTAATGCTCAACACATAGCTGTTCTGCCCAAAGCCTGCTTTGGATAAAAATATGCAAGAAAACAAAAATGGGCTTTAAAGAACTGATTGATAACATTTTGCTCTAAAATAAGATTAATTATCCAAAGGCTTTGTATTAAGCTTTCTTCTAACCTCTTTTCAGTGTGTCCAACAGCCCACTGCTAGTTGATTCAAAGCTGAAATAAAGTTGTACAAGCATTTGTTTTTGTTAATGCTGAGAGTCAGTCAAGTCTCAGAGCTGGACTATGCCTGTGGGTTTCTATGCTTTCAATTTTACTGAAGTCATTGAAAACAGAGGGTAAGTTACCCTTCTCACAACCATCCATTTATTCTTAATCTGAGAGTTGAGACAAGAATGTCGGAAGGAAATTGGTTCCCATTTGGGAACTCATGCACTCCTGTTCATACTTGTTAAAGTTAGTAAGGGTATTTAATACATTTGATAACTTGGGTATATTCAAAAGGTTTACGCATTCTACTTCAATTTTAACTATGTTTATGTTGAAACATAATTCTCAGGGCATTCATCTGATGACAGGTGATTTTTTTTTAAAAAAATATTATGTGTAGGAATCAAAGTAGCATGGAACAACTTACAAGAGGTTTAAATATTTGTTTATGCCTCTTAAAAAACATACCCACAGCAAACTGATTTCAAAGTTAAGAGTTATTTCAAAACCAGTTTGTTGTAAAATGTTAAAAGAAAACTATGATGTGCCATTTTTTTCTCCTGCCAAATACTGATATGTAGTTTAATGGCATTACTAATTTTAAGCATGTCTCCAATCAGAAAAACTGATGAGCCAGTGTATTGAGCTTCAACCATTCAAATAGTTAATTGCTTTGATCCAACTTGAAATATACAGTGCGAGTTATACTTAATGCCTGATTTTTTTTAAAAAAGGAGGGGAGGCGTTTGGTTTATCTGATACTAAGGATACACTTGTTTCTAAATAACCCCCTAAGCCTGGAAAGAATGCTAAGCACAACATTCAGAAGATTAAAATAGTATCTCAAATAATTTGTATTTTCCTATACCAGGCACCAATTTATTCCCCTATCCACCTTTACAATCATTGCAGCATAAAGTAACAGGAAGATTAGTTTATTCATATTTTAATGCACTTCATGTTTTGAAACAGGGAAGATATAAAACTGGAAAACTGCTTTGTAGGATCCATGCATTTAGTTTAAATTTTCACTTTCGGGAACAGCTGAATCAAGGCATATAAACACGCACACATATGTGCATGTGCGCACACACACACGCACACACGGATACACACTTGGAATATTCCTAGAGAACCTGAAAAGCAAATGGCTCAATGAATAGGCTACTAACATAGCTGTCTATATTCTTTGCCCCCTATAAAGCAGCAATGGAATTGATCAAAACCTAGCTGATCTTATCTATTAAATCAACAAGAGTGGTCAAGATTTCTCATTCAAGTGACTTTAAGTGCAACTTAGTGTAATTACGCATTTCTGGTCATTGTAGGTGATCACATAAAGAGCACACCCCCAATTTCCTCAGAAGAAACTCCAAGAGACATATACCTATTCTGTGAAATTCCTAATTAACCCATTTCTTTTGGATTAAACCCACCATTTAACTTCAACATCACACATCGTGTTTCAAATGGAAATGTTCTACGCGTACATTCTATGCATGTATAAAGATGTTTGCGAACCACAGTGCATATTTCATGTAAATCAAATGTTCTTTTTGAAGCAATGCGCATTTCAGCAAATGCAATCAAAATGTAAACTTCTAAATAATAATACACTGTATCTTAATTCTTTTGTGGTTGCTTTAAACTGCAGGATATACATAAAATAATACATAACCTGTATTTTTATCTCAGTTGGTTTTGAGCAAAATGCAATATTCCCCAGCTTTTTTAATAAAGCATCACAAATTCAAATTTGACCCCAAACATACTGCCACGGTGTGATACAAAACATTCCATGCACAGTGTTTTGATGACCTGGTTGAACATTCTCATCATCCTGTCCAACTAGCAGCCCCTATGTATCCCAAAGCTTGCTACAGCTTCACCAAAGATTGAGACAGGTTGGAAAGTAGATAAAGAATTTGTCCTGACAGAACCTACTGGGTCTTCAGACAAAAAAGATTGGCTGTAACACATGGAACTCAAATAGGTCCAAAGTGGCTCAAATCACATACTGCCACTTACGGAATACTATGGACAGAATTAATGATATTAACCAATTTGCTCAACAGATTTTAATCAAGCTTAACATGAGGTATAATTACATAAAACATACAGTTCACATATAGGAACATTTTTGCACTTCTGAAACGCATCCCAGTCGGTTTCAATACCAGACAGTCAGTACCTGTACCACTGATTTTCTTTTCTGATTTGTGGAAATAATAAAGTCAGCATTTCAATTTAGTGAGTTAGACTAGAATAATAAAAAGTAAAGGTTAAAATTCCTTCCTTGTATTTGATCTCCGCACATTATTTCTTGATAAAAGAAAGGCCAGCCACAGTATTTAAATGTCAGTTCAAAGAAATCATCAAAGGAAGTCAAGGCTGAACTTCCAATTGTTTTCTCTTGTTTGAAATCCCCTCAGGTAGCAAAAAAAAGTCATCTTGTTTTTATAAATATACATAAGCCAATAATTCACAGCCAAATAGCCAGTTCTCTTTTGTACAATATTTGTGCAGAGTTAGAATCATCTGATTTTAAGTCTTGACATCATCCATTCAAGTCCTTGGCATAATCTGTAAAAAAATTAAACAAGTATATAACTTCATTAATACAGATCATTTGTGACAAACTTCAAATCATAGCTAAGTTTTTTTTTTAGATATATTAAGGTTTCCATTCTCATAACTTTATAAAATATATGGAAATCATATAAACTTCACTAAAGTAATGTGCTATAACCCGTAACACTTTCCATTTTGAAATCCAGGGACAGATCTGAGTTCTAGTTTCTGGTAGGGAAAATATGGTTTAATTGCCTCCAAAAGAAGACAATGTCGCACCAAAGTTTCACCCCAGTTACTCGGGGAGGGGGGGGCATGATTTTTCTTCCTCTGATTTAAAGGGGAAATCTGGTATCAACCAATCAGTCCTCCTAACAAGCTAGTCACAGAAACAGGGGCTTCTCTGATGGGAGCAACAGGGAAGAGGGGGGGGTCTTCCATCAAGTTCGCAGCTGTGACGCAGCCTAAATTTAGGGCCACTGGATTTGACCTTATTTATTTCTAATGCAATTTTTGGATTATAATTTATTCTTCAGTTAAAGGGAGAGTTTCTTCAGATACAAATACGCATTTTTCTTTGGTGATTTTCATGAAGTCTGGGATTGTAATATTTAGAAACGTCTGAGAATTTGACTGATTTTTGCGTGCCTCGCAAAAAGCTGAGAACTAAAGTTATTAAAATATTTAAGTGGAAAAAAAATAATTTTCTTTTTAAAAGAGCGAATAGAAACAACCTCTTGTGTGGGGAAGCTGACTTGTTTACATTATCAATTGTAAAACTAAACTTTGAAGGTCGATTACCAGAGCACAATATGGCTACTCTAAAAGGAAATATTTGATTTATGGAGCGGTGAAGTGCTTGGACTTTTTAATTCTTTACTGGAACCAGAAGTTACTATTGGTGATCAACAAATCCCTTACTTATATCTGCAGACCTTACTTTATGTAGTAGATCTTTATTTTTAAAAAAAGTATTCACAAACAAAATAATTCTTACCCTTCGCCAGTAAGAGCGCAGCATGCCTGGATGTGCCACTGGTGATCTTTAATAGATGTTAGTTTCAGGAACTGAGAAATTTCAGCTACCGTCATGCAGTTTTTAACATCCTGTTTGTTAGCAAAGATGAGCAAGCCTGCTTTTCTCAAGTCCTATAGTAATATATATACACATATATATAATTTCTCTCCTGTTATACCACTAAACTACTACAGTATAATATTCATTGTTGAATTTAACACTCAGATTTAAATTAACATTGATTTGAAAAATGCAGTAAACCAACACAAATTCTATGCAAAATCACACCAGAGCAGCCCCATGTCAAGCAACCAGAATTTAACTAAAAGGTCACTTCCAGCAATTTTAAGAAATATTTACATTTAAACTTCTATGAGTTTCTAAGATGATAACGAACCATAGCTATGGCATACTGTCAAACATCCACGCTTTTTATATAATGTAGGGCAGGGGTCTTCAAACTTGGCCCTTTTATGACTTGTGGACTTCAGCTCCCAGAATTCCTCAGGCAGGTACGCCTGGCTGAAGAATTCTGGGAGCTGAAGTCCACAAGTCATAAAAGGGCCAAGTTTGAAGACCCCTGATGTAGGGATATCATTATTCAGAGAATGTTGGTTCACAATTAGAAAATATTGTGATGTATGCAAAACCTAAATACTAGCAACTTCTTAGAACAAAGGGACACACTTTCAGTATTAAATTATTTAATGTTAAATATGGGGTAAGTGGAATGTTGCTGTTGCTGTCTATACAGCTGTTGGTTTGCAAGTATTTGAGGTAGGGTATGTGGATGGACAAGACTTCTTACCTTCAGTGCCTATGATCTCCTATCCAAATGTGCTGATATATACCCCACCCATTTAAAATTTGCAAATGGAGAGCAAATCTGGCATCTACCTTGTCAGAGTCATACCAACTGAATTTAATTTCCATAATACAGCGTTTAAAATATGAGCATTTAAAAATAATGTTCTTTCATTTTTGATCCATTATCAAAAATTGTAATGTTTATAAAACCTTCCTTTTTTTCAACGTAACATAATAAAAAATAAATTAAAGGGAATCATTTTACATGGCACTTTTATCCTAATATCTTAACATGGTCTAATATGTAGGTGCTATCAAATAATTGCAATTAAATACCATATATCACCTCTGCTATCATCTCCCAGAATATACTTACTTCACACAGACTATGCGCTCATGACAGTTTTAATAACAAAACGTATCATACTTTTCCTTTCTCTTGAAGAAATTTGGGGCTGTTATTTTGGAAAACATAAGATACTAATTTCTACAACTACACTTTATTATTTCCTTAAGTAACATGCAAAATCTTTTTTTAATTTGTAGCGAAAGAGTCAGTCATAATAGATAATGTACTACTCTAAAAATTATTATTAAATCTAAACGTTCCCCAATCTGGGTGAAAAAACTTTTTTTTAATACCATTCTGGAGGTGATTACCAACATGGAAGAACAATCAGAAACCAGTCACAAACTTAAGTATCAATTTAGAAATTGTTTTTCTGTTTCAGTCTAATTTTTAAAAAGTACTTACCTCATGTGCTAACATTTTATACAGTTCTTCTTTAGTTACAGAAATTCTCTCTCTGTCTGTGCTATCCACAACAACTATCACAAACTGTAAGAATCAGAGATATTTGTAAATTAAGAATGTCCACACATATCTTGAATCTTAATCAGAGAAAGATTGAGGCTGTCTCCATAAAGCAATCCCTTATAAGAACATTATCAATTAAGACAATTATAATATTGCAAGAATTTATGATGGCATGCTAAATGAAACTGCCCAATCCAACAAGGAGTTCTGTGTCATTTTCTGAGGAGTGTATCCAATACGCAATTGCCATATTTTTGGCAGCTGCATTGTTTATCAGTATTTTATTAAATATTAGAACGGCATAACTACTCATCCAAATGCCCAATATAAACAAACATTCTTAGAAAATTGTTAATGCTAGCCTCACAACCTTGTTTTTAAGTAGCACCTAAGTTGTTAGGGTTTTGTTTCTAACCCAGTAAAAGATACATGTTTTTTTTCTGGCAGTACCTTAATTTGTATTATTGATTTCATCTTTTTGTTTAATGTATTCTTTAGTTCACACTGATCCCAAAGACAGTGGGCTACTATGAGTCTGTTGCCTTCTGCACCCCAACAGCTCCAGCCAGCTTAGCCAGCTAGTGAGGAATGTTTAACTCTCTTCATAATGATCCTGAAATAAGATTTCAGGACACAAGCTTTCCTGCACTATTTGAAAGATATATATGATTCTTCAGTTAGGTAGAACTTATGAATAATATAATTTCATAGCAGCTTCACTTCATGGAAAGTCAGGTGTCATAGTTATTTATGTCTGTCACATATAGGTCTAATGTATATGTTCTCCAAGTGTTTTCAAGAATTGTAAACCAAATAAACTACAGGTATGTCTTGAAAAAAGATGAAAACCATCTTATTCCTCCACATGCATGCACATAAGCACACATGCCCACACACATCCTATTCTCATCTCCAGGAGGTTGTTGGTTCTGTCTCAAAATCTGCCCTATCATTTAACAGAAAAGTGAACTCTGATTTTGATTACTGAGCTAATGTCAAAACAAGCACTTTCCCTCCTCCAAAATGTATCTACATCTATTTTAAATGTGGTATATAAATGTCTTGCCAAAAAGGCAATTGTTAACTCTAGAAGTAGGCACTTTTAATAGGCATTTTAAATTAATAGGCTATTTTAAGTAAACAAGTTCTTCTGTTTCATTTTANGAAGTATGCACTACTTCATTCATAGAACTGCAAAAGAAAAAAAAATCATTTTCTTTTCTATGGTGATAGTGATCTAAGTTATAAAAATATATTCGCATTTATTTCTGCAATATTTGTAATATAATCCTACATATTTCGGTAGAATTGAATTCTGAGTAACTGAGCACAGAATTTAATTCTTTATTCCTTTGGTGCAATCTTTTTTTTTTTTCTGCAACAGTCTTAAAAATAAGAATGTTTCATTATATTCTAAACTAATAAAAATAATTATATTGCCAGATATGATTATTTGCAAATCTTAAAATTTCCTTCTGGGCAATATTGCACACTTCGGTGATGCTGAAATTTTCAATTTTTCCCCTCTTTATTTGAAGAAATGTTTTGTTTTTCTTTATAAATTTAATATGTAAAGCCTCATTTAGGGCTTACACTGTAATTTTAATCTTTCCTACCTTAAACTTGTAAGAAATCACGAGGTTGTGGGATTATAAATAAATACATACATACATACATACATATGGACATTTCAGCCTATTGCTGTCAAGGGCAGCATTTTACATTGACAAGGCAATTTAAATCACTTGTTCGTGTTACTTTATACTTACAACTGATAAAGAATAGTAGTTTTTCCTGCATTATCAAGCCCAACTATTATCACTTTGTGCTCTGCAATGAAAAACAGAAAAAGAAAAAAGATTGGTTGAGCATATGGTCACGTTTCATGCCTCACACACCCTTGCCACTGGCAAAAATACTGGAGCTGATGGGAAATGCACCCCAAAATATGTGGAGGTCACTAGGTTGCCTATCTCTAGTCACACATTCACAGATTCCACAATCACCTATTTAACTGTTTTTACTGTGAACTGTACAGATAATCCTTGACTTATAATTGTAATGGAACCTGCTCATTAAGTCATAAAGTTGTAGTCTGAGCTTGGTTGTTTTCTAGCACTGATGATGTTAGCTAGTTTGACAATGAAACGCCTGCGAGAAAACAACCAAGCTCAAAGAGCAGCAAAGACCCCACATTTCCTTCTCTGGCAATTATTTCTATCTCCATTCATATAAATCATGAGCATGTGGAACAGAGAATTTTAGCTTATCATACTACATCACTACCTGTATTAAGACCATCTTGGAAATAAACTTCTAACACATTACAGGTAGTCCTCAACTTACAACAGTTCATTTAGTGAGTGTTCGAAGTTACAACGACACTGAAAAAGTGACTTGACCATTTTTCACACTGTTGCAGCATCCCCATGGTCATGTGATTTACATTCAGATACTCGACAACTGATATATATTTATGACGGTTGCAGTGTCCCGGGTCATGTGATCACCTTTTGTGACCTTCTGTCAAGCCAGGTCAGTGGGGAAGCCAGATTCACTTAACTGTGTTACTAACTTAATTATTGCAGTGATTCACTTAACAAATGTGGCAGAAAGTTGTCAAGTGGGGAAAACTCACTTAACAAATGTCTCATTTAGCAATATAAATTTTGGGTTCAAATTTGGTACAAAAATGTATATACTGCTCAGGTCTCTGAATGTTTTTCGACAAAGAAATGATTATCATATGACAATGAATGCTTAGGGATTTCAGAGTACTAATAAAATATTGAGGTGGCTCCACTGTCATTAATACCTGTTCTTTGCCTAATACATATTTTTTATTTGTTATGTTTCTATAATTATAAACCTTTTAATAGTAATTGTAATAATTTACAATATTTTGTAAACATTGTTTTGTATGAAATTCATTCGATATTATCAGTTTTGCTTTCTAAATGAGGCCTAATATATCGTATGTAAAACAAACCAAATAAAATATTAGCTATTTTTTGTGTTTGCAATTTTATTCTTTCAAAATGTATTCCACACACTGTCATTATGAACTTTAATTTACTTTCTGCAGTTATTCTTCAAATGTCAAATTATAATTATATACAAAATTCTGGAGACCCAGTAGCAGGAGGGAACAAAAATTTGTCAATTAGACAAAAGTATAAATTACAAGCCTTGTCAGCATAATATCATTCAACCAAAATTTAGCACTACAAAAAACGGCAGCAGAAGGTCTTGGATTTCCATGCCACATCTGCAGCATTGTCCAAAAGTGCAGTTTTACAACTTCCTCTTAATTTTAAATTAAAGCAGTTGGTTACGACACCAGAATCTGCACAAATTCTAGTTATTATTAACTATGATTTATGGTACTGTTTGTAAACCATGTTTTGCAAATTTTCTGGTTTTACTGTATTGCATCAAGATTATTGTGCGCATGCGTGTGATGGCGGACCTACCGTCTCCGGCTCCGTAGCGGCGGTGGTCCGTTGGCGGAGATGGGGGTGTGCGAAAGGGTCCGGGGGTGCTCGCCGGCCTGGAGTAAGTGAGAGGAGAGGGTCGGCGAGCGAAGAGGACGGGTGCCGGACCGCAAGACCGCCAGGTTTGGCGGGGCGGGGCGGCGAACGGAGCCGCGATGCCGCGGAGGGCGGTCCAGGCGCAGAGGGGCCTAGCGAGGCCTGGCGAAGCCTGGCGGCCTTGCGGCCGGGAAGAACGAAGGCCTGGCGGGGCCTGGAGAAGCCTGGGGCCCAGCGGCCAAGAAGAGCTGCGGCCCGTTGTGGCGGCTCGGCGCAGCGATGGCTCAGCGATCGGAGGTGGGCGGAGCTGCAGGACTGTGGAGGGCGGCCCAGGCGCGGAGAGGCCTAGAGAGGCCTAGTGAAGCCCGGCCTGGGGGCCAGGAAGAACTGCGGCCTGACGCGGCGACCTGATGCGGCGGCGACTCGATGGCCGGCGGAGGGCGGAGCTGCTGAGGGCCGCCCGGGCATGGAGAGGCCTGGTGAGGCCTGGTGAAGCCCGGCCTGGGGGCCTAATGGCCAATATGGAAGATCTGCGCCCTGACATGGCCAGGAAGATCTGGAAGATCTGCGCCCTGACACGGCCTGGAAGATCTGCGCCCTGACACGGCCAGGAAGATCTGCAGCCAGGACGAGCTGTGGCCAGACGCGGCGGTAACTCACCGGTCCGGCGCGGCAGCGGCCTGGTGGCCCAGCGCGGTGACGGCTCGACGGTCCGACCCGGGGCTATGGCGATCCAGTGGCCCGAGGTGATGGCGGCTTATTTCCCCCCGTTTATGGGACTTAAAGACCTGAGAACTCACCATCCTTCCTCAATCCATCTTGCCCCGTTTGAGACTGCCATCACAAGGACTTTTTCCCCTCCCCCCACTTTGCTGATGGACCTCCAACATGACGGACTGTATTCGAGGAAAGAACTGCTGGCCCTGCGCGACTCCCCCATCGCGCAGGTATGGCCTAAATTCATTCTAAGGGCCGGCCTCGATGAAGGGATCTGGAACCCAGAGAGGTGGCACTTAGCACAGAGGGACCTAAGAAGAAAAAGACTACGGGTCTTCTTAGAGGGGTGCTTTTCCAAATTTTTAGGGGGTTCGGGGTTGGCCCGGGAGGAACTAGGGGAGTCCTCTCTGAGGCCAAGGCCAGTCCTGTCTGGGGGGCGCGGGGTAAGGGAGGAGACTGGGGAGCTGGCGGAGGGTGGTGTGATAGGTACGATCAGTGGGAGGGGCAGATATGGCGGGAGCAGAGGACCACATCGGGTTTTGGGAGCACNGAAGTATGCACTACTTCATTCATAGAACTGCAAAAGAAAAAAAAATCATTTTCTTTTCTATGGTGATAGTGATCTAAGTTATAAAAATATATTCGCATTTATTTCTGCAATATTTGTAATATAATCCTACATATTTCGGTAGAATTGAATTCTGAGTAACTGAGCACAGAATTTAATTCTTTATTCCTTTGGTGCAATCATTTTTTTTTCTGCAACAGTCTTAAAAATAAGAATGTTTCATTATATTCTAAACTAATAAAAATAATTATATTGCCAAATATGATTATTTGCAAATCTTAAAATTTCCTTCTGGGCAATATTGCACACTTCGGTGATGCTGAAATTTTCAATTTTTTCCCTCTTTATTTGAAGAAATGTTTTGTTTTTCTTTATAAATTTAATATGTAAAGCCTCATTTAGGGCTTACACTGTAATTTTAATCTTTCCTACCTTAAACTTGTAAGAAATCACGAGGTTGTGGGATTATAAATACATACATACATATGGACATTTCAGCCTATTGCTGTCAAGGGCAGCATTTTACATTAACAAGGCAATTTAAATCACTTGTTCATGTTACTTTATACTTACAACTGATAAAGAATAGTAGTTTTTCCTGCATTATCAAGCCCAACTATTATCACTTTGTGCTCTGCAATGAAAAACAGAAAAAGAAAAAAGATTGGTTGAGCATATGGTCACGTTTCATGCCTCACACACCCTTGCCACTGGCAAAAATACTGGAGCTGATGGGAAATGCACCCCAAAATATGTGGAGGTCACTAGGTTGCCTATCTCTAGTCACACATTCACAGATTCCATAATCACCTATTTAACTGTTTTTACTGTGAACTGTACAGATAATCCTTGACTTATAATTGTAATGGAACCTGCTCATTAAGTCATAAAGTTGTAGTCTGAGCTTGGTTGTTTTCTAGCACTGATGATGTTAGCTAGTTTGACAATGAAACGCCTGCGAGAAAACAACCAAGCTCAAAGAGCAGCAAAGACCCCACATTTCCTTCTCTGGCAATTATTTCTATCTCCACTCATATAAATCATGAGCATGTGGAACAGAGAATTTCAGCTTATCATACTACATCACTACCTGTATTAAGACCATCTTGGAAATAAACTTCTAACACATTACAGGTAGTCCTCAACTTACAACAGTTCATTTAGTGAGTGTTCGAAGTTACAACGACACTGAAAAAGTGACTTGACCATTTTTCACACTGTTGCAGCATCCCCATGGTCATGTGATTTACATTCAGATACTTGACAACTGATATATATTTATGACGGTAGCAGTGTCCCGGGGTCATGTGATCACCTTTTGTGACCTTCTGTCAAGCCAGGTCAATGGGGAAGCCAGATTCACTTAACAACTGTGTTACTAACTTAACTATTGCAGTGATTCACTTAACAAATGTGGCAGAAAGTTGTCAAGTGGGGAAAACTCACTTAACAAATGTCTCATTTAGCAATATAAATTTTGGGTTCAAAGTTGGTACAACAATGCTCAGGTCTCTGAATGTTTTTTTGACAAAGAAATGATTATCATATGACAATGAATGCTTGGGGACTTCAGAGTACTAATAAAATATTGAGGTGGCTCCACTGTCATTAATACCTGTTCTTTGCCTAATACATATTTTTTATTTGTTATGTTTCTATAATTCTAAACCTTTTAATAGTAATTGTAATAATTTACAATATTTTGTAAACATTGTTTTGTACGAAATTCATTCGATATTATCAGTTTTGTTTTCTAAATGAGGCCTAATATATCGTATGTAAAACAAACCAAATAAAATATTAGCTATTTTTTGTGTTTTCAATTTTATTCTTTCAAAATGTATTCCACACACTGTCATTATGAACTTTAATTTACTTTCTGCAGTTATTCTTCAAATGTCAAATTATAATTATATACAAAATTCTGGAGACCCAGTAGCAGGAGGGAACAAAAATTTGTCAATTAGACAAAAGTATAAATTACAAGCCTTGTCAGCATAATATCATTCAACCAAAATTTAGCACTACAAAAAACGGCAGCAGAAGGTCTTGGATTTCCATGCCACATCTGCAGCATTGCCCAAAAGTGCAGTTTTACAACTTCCTCTTAATTTTAAATTAAAGCAGTTGGTTATGACACCAGAATCTGCACAAATTCTAGTTATTATTAACTATGATTTATGGTACTGTTTGTAAACCATGTTTTGCAAATTTTCTGGTTTTACTGTATTGCATCAAGATTAACCACTATTTCAGATTTGGAATCTAAAAGAGAAATACTCCACATTTGACCGACAAAAATAGTAGTAACAAAGGCCGAGAGTTACTGTGGTTTCATAGTACTGAACCACAATTCAATGCTACATTCAAATTAAACCAATAATAACCCTAACACAACACTAGTTCCTTTACTTTGAGTGTTGGTAGAAAGAGTTAGTGCAGATAGTCAATTAATATTGTTTTATCTATGGAGCCTCAATTCTCTCCCCACAATGTGAACTGAGAATTCAAGCTAAAGAACACACAATTAAAAAAAAATTCTACCAAGCATACAATTTTTTAGATATTCAGATAAATTTTCTACAGAGGTTCCCTAAACGTTAGAATTCTTTAAAATATTAGATTAAAATCAACTACATTGCTTTAAATAGAGAATATAAGAAAAAAAATCTGTATAATTTTTTAAAAGTGGAAGCACTAACTTCAAATAGGATCCATATTAAAAGTTATGGTTATATATATATATATATTCCACTGAAACTGAATAACAATTCAGATGTTAGATTAAATCAGTTTTTAATATATTTGAAACAGAAATTTTCTGTCACTCACGTTTCAGTTAACCACTTCCTTCTGACAGATCCATTATATGCAGAATTATTATCAGACAACTTTTTCACCAACTGCACAATGCCGAAAGGTGCAATTCAAATGTAATATTTATTATTTTCATACACTGGTTTGTTGTCTTGGTTATATGTGAAAGGTACTACTGAAGTGGACTGGACTAGGATAAATTTGTTAGTACAAGTAATCCTCGACTTAAAAGAGTTCATTTAGTGACCAAAGTTACAACAGCACTAAAAAAATGACTTATGTCTGTTTTTCATACTTACAACAGTTGCAGTATCTCCACAGTCACGTGATCAAAATTTGGATCCTTGGCAACTGACTCATATTTATGACAGTTTTAGTGTCCCAGACTCATGTGATTACCTTCTGTGACCTTCTGACAAGCAAAATCAATGAGATTCACTGAACAACTGCAGTGATTCATTTAACAACTATGGCAAGAAAGGTGGTAAAATGGGGAAAAATTCACTTCATAACTGTTCTCGCTTAGCAATGGAAATCTGGGGCTCAATTGTGGTCGTAAATCGAGGACTAACTGTTCTTGATCTCAAAAATTTAACAAGCATCACTTGCTTGAAATTGAGAGTCCATAAGTTACCAAAAGACCGTGTACACACTGCTATGCCATCCTTCCCCATTCCCAACTCAAATCAAGGAGTATCCTTCTCCTCTCCCAACAAGAGGGCCCCCTCAAAAAACCCACAAACATCGCGCATTGCCCAAATTATTGGATTTTTTTTTTGTCTCACACTTGTTTATATGTATGGCCCTTGGTTTCCAAACTTGTGTTAGACAAGTAAAAAAAGTATTTTATGCAACTAGAATTGACTTATTTACTGCTTATTTCCATACGAAATAATCTTAAATTTTCTCAAATAATTGATGCAAAAGGCCTAAGCACACAGTTAAGTATAAAATAGGCTCTTTAAAAAAAAAAACCTAGCTTGCTGGGTATTTCCTCATCATTTGTGGTTCTTCCTGTCCAAACAAGGATATGTAACTACAGTGATCCTGCATTACTATTTGTATTATTTAATAATACAGGGGTTGGATTCTGAAGAGAAAAGATATTTCAACTTGTGTAAAATATTCTTTGGTTGGGCTGTTTACTAATGGCTTTTTGGCAGTTTCTTGATTATGGTATTGCTTACTTGATTGTTGGTCTGAAGTTGACCTCCCAGAACAGCCCAAGCAAAGAATCCCTAAGACCACCCCCACCCACACAGATAGGCAAGACACCGGAATGTATACCAGGGGTTTCAAACTTGGCCCTTTTATGACTTGTGTGCCTGGCTGAGGAATTCTGGGAGTTGAAGTCCACAAGTCATAAAAGGGCCAAGTTTGAAGATCCCTGATATAAACTGACAGCAAACAGCACTCCTTACTATCACTGATGATATTATCTAGTTAGGGCAATGAAACATCTGCAAGAAAACAAGCAAGCTCAGAGAGCACCAAGGACCCCTTATTTCAACCCTGAGCTACAAATATTCTCCTTCATTGGTACCATATGCATCTGCCCAGGATAAAGGCTTTCTTTCAAATATCTTATCTCTCTAGGTAGCTTTACTGGTACCCATATTATTACTTTTTGGTACCAGATTAATATATCTCCCCAGACATTTTCATACAGTAATACCCAGATTTTGGCAGTGGTGTATTTTTTTAACTTGGTGCTAAATGGTAGTGTGTTTATTATATGTTGATGAACGCTAGATGCATTCACTGGTTGTTTTATGCAGTGCACAATTTTATTTACAGATAGTAAATTTTACTGTATTTTGTTTTGAGTTTTATTCTGTTATCATCTTTGAGACATTAATGTGATGGCACATAATAGGTAAGTTTAATTCCACTGCAATATATCTAAATAATTATTTAATAAATAGCTTTTTATTCTAAATAATGGAATAACTACAATGCAGAAGTGCAGATCAGCTATTGTATTACATTTAAAAGCAATCATAGTAGTTACCACATGACTGACAAGATATGTGCAACAACAACATGAACTAATTTCTCTCAATTATCTCCTAAGGGAAAGAAATAATGGCAAAGCAATGACACAGGATGCTTAATTAAAGATTAACATTAAAATTTTCTTCTGCAAGACCCAAACACTTGAATATTTCCTTTTAACTTTAAGTGAAGCTCAAAGAGTCATTAGTCTTCATGTGCTTGACGGTATAAAACATTTTATTTGGAGAGGTAGTCCTCAACTTACAACCACAATGGAGCCTGGAATTTTGATCATAAATAATAGCAGTTGAGGATTGTGACTGGGCTCCATCATAAGAGCAATTTTACAATGATCATAAGGCGAGTTGACAGTTATAAAGTTAATCACATGGTCATTGGGCAAATCCATTCTTCCAAATGGCATTTTTTGCTGGAAACCAGCAAAAACTGACAAATCACAATCAGTTATAAATGTAAGCCAGTTGCCAAGCATCCAAAATGTGGTCAATGACTGCTGGGGGGAGCAGCAGTCATAACTTTGAGGACAGGTCGTAAGTAACTTTGGAAATGTCCATCATAACTTTGAACGGTCATTAAGCAACTAATTCTATATCGAGGATACTGTATATATAAAAACATTATCAGAGTTTTTCTGTAAGTCTGAGAAGCATCAAAATAATGGATGAAATAAGTCAGTCTTACAGTTTCAGAACAATGCATAAGTTATCTATGTACCCAAACATACATGTAGCGGAACTCCTATTTGCCCAATTCTTCTCCTTTCAGTTAAGCTCCTATTACAGCATTTCAATTATTGATGGGGCAGAAACAAGAGAGCTAAATCCTCAGCTCTGAGTTGGTTTCAGGTGGCACCTGCTCAGATAACTCAGCTCAAACTCTGCAAGAAGCAAACTGTGTTTTCCCCCCTAAAGTACATAAAAGATGAAAACAGAAAATAACCAAAATCAACCTCCAGAATTCTGTAGATAAAAGGTAAATATTTAAAAACTCTCTTATCTAATTCTTTCACACCCTACCTCTGAACTATTTCAATATGTTTTTCAAGCTTAAGTTTTCAAAGGAAATTCTGTATTTGGCAAACAAATGTAACTGATATTCCTTAACAATTTGTTATACTACACAATTAATTCAATACTATTCCGTGATTCTTACACTATTTTACATTTAATAAAGGCTTGATAATATAATTTCAATACATTAAAATGAAGATTCTGTAACTTTATAGAACTATCTTGTTCAACTACAAACCTGTAGCAAACCCAAACTTATCATTTTATCATAGCCTTAGTGCCCACCTAAAAAAAGCCAGTATTACATCCCACATTCATAAATCTCTCTCTCCTGACATTCAATCACCACAAATTATTTTGGCACACTTGAAAAAATATTTCACCTAAGAAGGTAAAAAATATCCTGCTGAATTTGACTACAGGCCTAATAGTCCAGCAAGATGCATATGAAAAGCACACAACCAGCAAGCAAGGATAATAGCATCCTCCTCCTAACATTTTAAACAGTTTACAATATATAGTTTTCATTACTTATATCCTACAGATTTACCTAATCTTCCTCTGAAGTCATTCAAGATAGTGGTCGTAACTACATTGTGTGTGCTAGTGAGTTCTAGGTTTAATTATGTAAACTATGAAGGAATTCTCTGCACTACAGTTTCATAAAAAGCATTAGGGGAAGAGACATGCAATATCTGAAGGACTGATACAAGTGAGTAACCTATGAAGCCAATAATTTATTCAATAGCCACACTGCTTAGCATACAAACTATTTCTCTTTTTAAAGAGGAATTTATCTGTTAACATGTTACTATTGCTGTGCCCTCAGCCTCCACTGAATAAATCACAATGGTGAAATCCAATGTTTGTTTTTTAAGCAGCAAAGTAAGGTTCAAAACAGTATCCCAAATCACTGTCTTTACTTTTAAAATTTAAGCCAACATGGGAGGCATTCTGGGAAAGAAAGAGGTAAACCATCATTTCAACTATCCCATGTTTTCAGGACTATAAGTATGTAATCTATAAAAAGTAAAAGCAAGGTGCCACAAGTGGTTGGCCAAGGTGGTTATTAACAGACGTAGTGTCACGCACTGCTACTATACTGCCTTTTCTAATAGAGTGGAACCTTGATTCAACTGCTTTGAAACTCATCCAATTTGATACTCAACGCATTTTGACATGAAAATTTTGTCTCAGTACTCATCATTTGTTTGGTACTCAACTTACAAGCTAGAACTTGTCGGTGTTGGCTGCCTTGTGACTCACTACATTATTCCTTTTTGGGGAAAATGCGTTTGCACTCATTTTTGCTACT